GGCACTGTCGTTTGACATACGTTAAAGACAAATGTTGGCCAATGTTTGGTCTTTCAGAATTTGTCTTTAGTTTTAATTTTTAACGCTAAGATCAAATAGAACGAGCAGAATATTGACCGTGACGGAATTTCATGCTTCCAATGTAGAAGGTTATGCTTGCCATAAATTCGACACTCAAACGAACCCAGCCAACCCTCTTTGCTTCTCTTTCATCATTCTAAGCAGTTTTTGTTAAGAAAATATACAATGTGATGGTATGGCAATCGGTTCCCCGCTAGGTCCCATTCTCAAGACACATACGAAACTACTATCCATCGAAAACCCACAGATACAAGTCTGTATCTGTTATATGAAAGTAACCAATGTACAACGGCAAAATTTTTGCAGAAATGTGCGTTTTTTTGGCACTTTTCGGTCCACACTAATGCAACGTCACATGCAAAAATAAACAAAAAAACGATAGCTTTTTGCCTTTTATCGCAAAATCCTTTTTTCTGCGTTATAATTCATGGGTTTTCAGTACAATTTTCGCAAAAAGCTTTTTGGTTTGACAATGCAAAAAAATGATGGCTCATTGTGATGAGTCATCAGAACTTGTGTATAATCTGAAAACGCTAAATATGGGCAACCCAATATTTTTATAAATAGTCCTTTTCCACTGAAAATTTAATTAGGGATTTTGCTAGTGAATCTGGTGCGATCTGGTGCCTCTGGGCAGGCTCAATGAACTTGTCCGGTGATTGTGTGAGAAATACCGCACAAAGCATTATAATTACACACAGTAATATTTTATGCATAAAAAACAATGTGTTTCTTGCGTTTTATCGCAAAAGTTTTTGTTTCTGCAACGAAACGCATAAAAAATTGATGCGTGTAATGTTACGTGAGACAAAAATTTTACTGGCGATTTTTGAAAACAATGCAAATTTTTTACAATATTTTGACTTAAATTTCTCACGAAATATCGACATGGGCTGTTTTTCCAAAGTCTCTCTAGAAATCCTGTTTTGAAAAACCCTGTGAAAAAGCTTCTGCTTTTAGACGCATGCTCCCAAGTCTCCTTCTGAATGGCGAAAATCGAAGCTACTTTCAAAAGGTATTTAGAACACAGTCATGTGCTATTATTTTGTTAAACAGATGATAGCATGAAATAACTCGTGAAGTAGAACGGTTTTGTCTCACTGCTGAATAGGAAGTTAAGCTAATAATTCATGGTTAGATTCATCTTTTGGAACGAACAATCAGAAAGCGTTTGCTATAAACAACATAATTAGTGTTTTGAACTGTAGAAGACGCATCAGAAATTAACAAGCAAACTGTTCTAATAGTTATTTCAATACTATATTAGCTTTGTAGAAGTAACTTGTAGAGATCTGCAGGATCGAAAAAGTTTGGTCCCAGTCCCATAAATATTTTTTCATAGTAGCACTGGGAGTCTGAAAGTCAGCGCGTGAGATAGCATGCGTGGAAGGTATCGATCGAAGACTTTTAGAATTTTTGTGTGAGTTCTTTCTTGCAGCGCTAGCGCCTAGATACAAACAGGCACAGAAACTAAGAAATTTCGACTTTACTAGGAACAGTCGGAATTCTGCCCTTCATTCACAATTTTCTTCGTCAAAACTCAGCTTTCACGCAATGAAAGTCTCATATTTGAAATCAGCGCCCAAAATCGAGTCGAACGATACATTCTGTTGATTTTCATTTCTTGATGAAAAATCTCACTAATTATTCGATGTGAAAATTCAAAAAATATTAAAGTAATCGACCAGGATAAAAAATGTATATCATTCGACTCGATTTTTCACACTATTCTCGAATATGATATTTTCATTGCGTGAAAGTTGAATTCTGATGGAGAAGACTGTGAATGAGGGGCAAAATTTCTTTTCAGCGAGGAAATAAAAACTTTCAAAAAAGCGAGTTATAGTTTTGATATATTTTTTCTTAACCAGCTATTGAATGGTGGATAGAGGAGGAATGGAAGCTTTTTCTATACGGGAATTTGGATCGTTAACAATAAAAACAGAAAATTTTCTTTTGAAGATGGTAAAGAAATTGGAGAGGGACTAAAAATAAGTCTAAGTGTGGCATAGTTGTGAATCCAGTCAAAAAACATATCCGTTGCATGTCTTGGAATAATTAGTGGTTCTATTTAAGTAAGAAATATAGCACTGCGACAAAATGCATGTTCAAGTTATCACTTAAAACACTACTCGAGGTTTCGACCTTTATTCAAGGGTCATCATCAAGAGTGAATGACAAAAAGAAAAAGTGTACGCATCAACAATATTTTCTTTTTCTTTTATTAGTGGTTCATTAAGAATAAATAAACATATAACCGAACTGATTCTGATTGTATATTAGCAGTTTAACGGCATCTCTCTGATCAGGGAGGAAGGAGGACCGGTGGATAGTGAGAGCGAGTGAAAAACCTGAAAATCTATTTGCCATTATGAGAAGTTGAGACAGGAATTTTTTTAACACCTTGGGGACGGGAAGCACATATATGTGTTTTGGTTCTGAAACAACTCATAACTGACTTGAATATGTCTCTTATGATATTATAATGGCTTAAATGATAGTGGAAGACATAGATCTGCCACTTCCAATGTGTTGTAACACTATCATTTGCATTATGCTCTCATCCACCTTCTTTCTTCCTATTGTTAAGTAGCCGCTTCTCGACACACCACGATGTTTACTCACAAGAAGCAGGGGAACAGAACTGACAAACAATGAACGATGACTCTCTATGCATAGACAGATAAGATGGCATATTCCAACAGATACTAGGAAATGCCCTGAATGAGAAACAGGAATGACAAAGGTGGAAAGTTCCAACATACACTAGAACACTGATCAAGGAAAATGCCAAGATCACCTAGTCACACCACACTAGAGTCCTGCGCGAGTACGACTTCCAGTACCCTAACCTACCCGCAAAGCTTAAACCCATCCGATCCTATCCGCACCGGTTTCAAGCCCGCCCGACCCTACCCGCCCTACCCTACACGCGAACCCAAATACGTGTTTGTATTTTTGCAAGGATGATCCGGACCAATTCTTGGAACTGTAATTGGTCAAAATTTAAACGCGAGCTATTTGTGAGACGTTTCTCGAAAAACGAACATGTATAATAGAAACGAAGAAAAATAAAATAAAGCGTGATAAACAAGTTAATAACATAAAAAGAATCAGAAGATAATGAGACAAAAACATGACTAGCCCAAATTTTCTAATGGAGAGGGGCCAAAACAACGTTAAAAAGCTAAACATATATCGATGTCACATGTTACGATCGTTCTGACGACTGTTCGGTAGTCGTCAGGATTTAGGAGTTCTCAATGTTGAGTGGCACAGATAGCTGATCATCGTGGAACGAAACTTTTAACGTACTATATAATTTTTTCCTTTGACGTATATATAAGAGACAATGGAGCAAAAAGTGACCACTCGCTTCAGCAGCTATACATTTGCAAATGTCTATTCTGATAAATCTGTTTGAATCTGAACCCAGTGGTATCACGTCATAATTTTGATAATGACCCAAACGAGGATATACAAGATATAAACAGGCAAAACGGACAGTTGGTTTTAGAGAACCTTTCCCCGCTATCTGGAGTATCTATAGAATGGCTTATCGTAACGTTGGTATTTTTTGAGCAAGAATAGATTTCAGCGGTTCTCAGTTATGAAAGGGAGCCGGGATGACTAATGTTCGGTCGGAAATGGGAGATGTCCTTCTAAGTAGGTAGTGTACGTATGCCTGTGGGTGTGTATATGTCGTCAGCATGAGATAGATCTTTTGACCGAACGGGGGAAGTTGGTTTCCTGAGATTTGGGTTTTTCAGAGACCCTAGTTTCAGAAATTCTGATGGAATCTTTATGTATACTTCATCTGACTGGAAATCCTTTCAACTGTACAAATCTTTTTTCAAATTTGATCCAGCTACAATGGTCGACGAGAAAAATGAAAAAGAATGATGGACGAATAACTTTTGGACCCGCTGTATGTTTAACTTTTCTTATTCCTGTCAAATCCTTGTGAACATAATACATCAATGAAATGCATACATCAGTTCGTAGAGAATAGAAAGAGCTTTCTAATTATGTGTTGATTTCTTTAAACGCTTCTATAGTGCCAGAGAAAAGCGCATGAGAACGATTTTAATGGTGCTCCGTAATACCAGCTTCCAAGCGAAGATTCTATCACTTGATGGAACGGTCTTAACCACTCGAAAGCACCTAAAATAAAATGTCCGTGGTTTTCTGTTAGTCACAGAACCATTTTGAGCCAAACAAAAAGTGAGCCGATTCTTTAGCTTGTTACGGACCCGTCCTTTTAAAGACTTTTTTAATGAGCAAGCATATTCCTTCACTGTGTTGTGTTGTCTTTCGAAAAGAATCAATGTAATACTTCTAACTATACTTACGCTAGAACTCCCTCTTTACTATCCACTTCTTTCTGTCTCATGATTTAAAACGTGACAAAACTAATGTTGAAATTCTTCTTTCAGTTCTGTCACGTTTTAGGTCATGAGATAGAAAGAAGTGAACGGTATAGAGACAGTTCTGTCGTTAGTACAGTTAGTTTTTTTGTCACTTGAAAATGATGGTTTAAGGTCGAAATATTGTGAAATAAACAAAATAAAATTTAAAACTACTGCATTATTAATCAGAATTACGGACAGCAATCTATGTGAAAAATAGAATTTATTCTTTAAGCATCAAGCACCTTCTTCCCCCGAAAGTAAGGTTCTCATAGAAAAAACCATACCATAAAATAACTTAACTTAACATTAGTAATGTTCTTCATAAAATCCAATGAACTACATTTTAATATTAGTTTCTTAGAGCCGACCAAAAGTCGTATTGGTTTGCTATAAAAAAAACACCAAAAAATCTACTGGTTTATTGATAAAAAGAAGTATGTACTCACAGGCTCTAACAAAGACTGCTGTTCCACTACATTAACTTCCATTTCACCATGGTTGTGCATCTTATATATTTTGAACATCAATTTGTACTTTTTTTGTTTCCTTTTTATATGATGCATTAAAATAACCTTTTAAACCCCTAACACCTTTTGTTCTAATTGCATCAAGAATTTGTTTATATTGTAAATGATCGGTATGGATTGTTGTTTGAAATGATTTTGATTGATTATACACCAGTAAAAAATCATTACCCGAATCTAATGGTACTTGAACTTTGACTATGAATCTATCAGCACCATTAGGTAAAGGTGATTCACCATTATATTGTTTATCAATATTTTTAATAATATCATGATCAGATGTACCACAGGGAAGAATACATATCACTTGTTCTGTTTTCGGATATCGACCTAAAAAAATGATTCTACTCGTAGAGAAAAACTGACGAGGGAACCGATTCAGCTGTCAAATCGTTTTTCCAATGGGTTATAGGTTATCGAGTATGCTGATTCTGAATGTGACCAAGGCAGTCGCACATAGATCTCCAGAGATCCAGTTTCGGAAAGCCAGTTTTTCAGAAATTCTAAAAAATACCCTAAACCTTTCTCAATGAGGCATGATTGTAGCGCGCACATTTCTGATTAAAATGAGCCATCTTCCAGCTCTACACGACCTTTCTTTGCAAAGTTATAGAATTTACAAGAAAAGCCCTTAATTCATTTTTTCCTTCTTATTTCTGTTGCTTTGAGCTGACAATGAACATTTAGGGCTTTTCTTGCAAATTCTATAACTTTGCAAGAAAAAAGGTTGTATAAAGCTGGGAGATGTCTCATTTTAATCAGAAATGTACGCGCTTCAATTATGCCTCATTGACAAAGGTTTTGTTTATTTTTTAGAGTTTCTGAAAAACTGATTTTCCCAAAACCGGATCTCTGGAGACCTATACGCAACTGCCATGATCATATTTGGAATTAGCATAGTCGATAACCTATAATCCACTAGGTCTCAACTTTTGTCACATAAAATGCCCAGGTCGCAGGAAATGAGACTTAAATGAGACATGTATGGCTCATTTATGATATGAAGTGAAAATGATAATATTATAATCCTAAAATGATTTAAATATGAGCTTAAGATGATATCATATTTGAGTCATTTTAAGACCATTTCATAAAATGATATAAAGATGATGTATATATGATATAATTTGTAAAAATGATTTGAATATG